GACGGGTAAGAGCAAGTTGAGATGCTCCCCGGACTGTTTTTTGAAACTTTGATTTTTTAATCTTGCGGGTAAGAGCAAGTTGAGATGCTCCCCGGACTGTTTTTAGAAACTTTGATTTTGAAAATATGCGACGAGTAAGAGCAAGTTGAGATGATCCCCGAACTGTTTTTTTGGAAAAATGTGGATTTTTTAATCTAACGGATAAGAGTACGTTCAGATGCTCCCCGGACTACGTTAGAAACGTTGATTTTAAAAAATCTGACGGGTAAGAGCAAGTTGAGGCGCTCGCCGGACTGTTCAAAACGCTTTGATTTGATTGTGGAAATCCGGCAGAGAAGAACAAGTCCCCGGACGGTTGGGAAAACATTGATTTTGAAAATCCAGCGGGTAAGAGCAAGTTTAGATGCTCCCCGGACATAAAACTATGTTTATCGGATTTGTGAGAGCGTTGGTAGATGCCACCTTCCAAGAAGTAGACGGAGCCCTTCTGTCTTTTGTCCCAATGTAGAGTGGTCACCTCTGTGTGAATCGCGGAAGCAACCCCTGGTGGGCCCATGTTTCCTGCGATAAAATGAATATTCCCTTCACACGTGTATGTCAGCCAACACAGGCGGTACAATGTTTGCAACTTGTGTAGAACAATCCCAGGTTTCAGCAAACAAACTTGAAACATTATGTTGGCTCGCGGGAACCTCACGTCTTCTGATCCGATTTTCACTAAAAAAAATTTTGCTATACCCCAAATTTTGTTTTTCCTTTCTACCTCTCGTTTAACTTGTGCCGACTTCTGAGTACGGTTGAATGGGGGTGGAGTATCTTTTTGGCGTTTTTTTCGTATCTGTTACGGAAAAAAAAAAAAAAAAACGAAGACAAAAGGAGACACAAATTTGCTTTCATAAAAGCCCTTTCAGCAGTTTTCTGTCCCTGATCTGGTGCCACACATGGTGGTCGGAAATGGTTCCCACCAACCAAATAATTAGGGCCAGGACAGCCTTTCACCGCTGGCGTCAGTCGAATTGACTCAGCAACTTCGTAACGACCTTTCACAGCGGGTGCGTTGGTCGCACCCGTCCCCGAGCGGTCGTTCTTCAACTCAGCTTGACACTTGAATAGATCACAGCTGCCCTCAGTCGAGAACCGGCCTGAGAAGTACTAGTATGCAACTGAAGAAAGTATGCCACGAGGGATCCTACGGGATCAAGTGGCCAGGAGACCCGAGAAGGAGAGCCAGGGGGACAGGCTGTGAACGCAGCGCAATAACAGCAGGGATTTCAAGCCGGTGTTCTGAAGAGTGAAGGACGAGAGATAAGAAAAAACCAAGGGGTACAATGACACTTAATGTACGATTTTGACTAGCGAGAGGTGAGGAAAACCAAGGGATACGATGATACATTACTGGATGTATTTGACGGAAACGATTAAAACAGGAGATTTCTGAAGGTTGATATGGACTGCATTTATTTGGTGGACGCAGGTTACATGGGAAGACGGTGCTAAGGGGGGATTCTCTATGCACGGGGGTAAGGTAAGCGATGGTGAGAAATGGAGTGGCAGAGTAAAGGAAAGGGTGAGTATTGGAGGAGAAAAATGTGAGTATTGGGTGTTAGAGCAGGGAAGGACTTGAGGAGAGGATACGAGTAATGTGGGGGCAGGTAAAAGAGGAAAGAAGGCCCCAGTACAACTCTCATATCTTAACCCGAGCAGAGAGCAAAGTGACGAGGGATTTGATACTATCCCGAGTTGCTTTGCGCGCAGGGAGGGTAAGATAGCACGCACCCCCCATCTGGTGTCACTCTGTGGTCGCGGGTAGGATAAAGGGGACCGAACCATTGCGCATCCCGGGGAATCGGTAGGGGAGACGCATGTCAAGTTTAAAAAAAAAAAAAAAAAAAAAA